GCAGAATCACAGCTTTGAAGAGTATTTAGAGTTGAAAACATGGTACTTACAACGTGGCTAATAAATGTCCAGGAACACCAGAGCCTAACCTCCCAGCCTCCTCCTGAGAGGCAATTTCTATTATTAATTTCTTGTTTTTAGATTTTTTTTAATATTTATTTTTGAGAGACAGAGTGTGAGGGGGGGAGGGTCAGAGAGAGAGGGAGACACAGAATCTGAAGCAGCTCCAGGCGCCGAGCTGTCAGCACAGAGCCCGACACGGGGCTCGAACCCTCGAACCGTGAGATCGTGACCTGAGCCGAAGTCGGACGTTTAACCGGCCGAGTCAGCCAGGCGCCCCTCTGTTATTAATTAATTTCTTAGGTATTTTCTGGATGTATTTCACACATGCACACACACACACACACACACACACACACTCACACTCTTTATAAGCCAGCGGCGTGGTTCTGCGGGCCTGTTCTGCACCTTGGCTTTGTTTTCCTGTGCTGGCCATTCTTCACAGCCCCGAGCTGTCCCCTTGTTCGTTACGTACATGATTTATGTAACCGCCTGTGGCTCAGGGACGAGCTGGTCCCCTGAGTGTTCTGCTGAGACAATGTTGCACATGCGTCCGTCCTCACGTGCACGTAAATGGGTCGCTCGTGTCGACAGACGCTAAAAATTATTGTGAGTTATTCACTCGTTCGACAAGCATTCGATGCACGTCTCTTCCGTGCCGGGCGCTGGTAGATGTGGCTGAACTTTAAGCTGTAGAGTAAAAAGAGAGGGATATCAGATTCCGTGTGCAAAATGATCCCAGGCGTGTAAGAACACGCGTGTGCGTGGGCGAGAAGACGGGGCCGCGGGAACACGGCGGCACGGGGCTGGGAACGCACGTGGCACGCTTAGGGGGACGCTTCCCGGAAAGACGGTCCCGGAGCCCCGTCCCCTGCGCGAGCGACCCTGCAGCGCCCTGTCTCTCCCCAGTCGCGCTCCATCGGCCTCAACCCGCTGTACGTGATGCTCCCGTGCACCCTGAGCTCCTCCTTCGCCTTCATGCTGCCCGTGGCCACGCCGCCCAACGCCATCGTGTTTTCCTACGGACACCTCAAGGTTTCCGACATGGTAACGCAGAACCTCCCCCTGCTCGCCGCCCGCTGACGCCCTGTGGCGGCCCGGCTCTCTCTAGTTGCGCTTATGTGCACCTTTGCTTTTCTGAAACGTCCTCACGTTTCACAGACGGTTCTGGCTCCCAGGGCTGGGGGGGGGAGCTGTGGAAGCTCCCGCCTGGGGAGCCGTCGCTGAGCCCTCGGAAGGGGTGAGGGCGGGGGTCCCACGGGGCCCTGGGGGATGGGCAGGAGGCGCAGGGCTGCGGCTCAGAAGCAGGGAGGGGGAGGGAGGGGCCATGGGCTGGGAGCCGGTGACGTCCTGGACACGTGTGCAACAGAGGAGGGCCCCTCACTTCTGCTTTGGCTCCGTCACCTGTGATGGGGGAGGCCACACCGAAGGCGCCAGTGCTCACGCCCCCTCCGCCGGGCCTGGTGCCGACTCCCCGAGGCTGGTCCCGGTGCCGGCGAGGGCGCAGAGGACTCACCCGTCCTGCCCGTTGGCCGGAGGCTCTGAGCACTGACCGCACCTGCTGACCCGACCTTGCTCTGCCTGGGGGTGGGGCGAGCACACAGCACGGCCCAGGGACGGGAACCCCAGCAGACCAGCCCGGCCCCGCAGGGGGTGCTGACCTTGACCCGTCTTTTTCCAGGTGAAAACAGGACTCATGATGAACATAATCGGAATCTTCTGTGTATTTCTGGCTGTCAACACGTGGGGCCGCGCCATATTTGACTTGGACCGTTTCCCCAGCTGGGCTAATGTGACGCACACGGAGCCCTAGGGAGAGCCTCACGACCCAGCACGCCGCCCCCACCCTCCTGAGGACCCCCGAACCTCCCAGCACAGCACCCAGCACAAGTTTGGGGTTTGCTCCCCAAAGCGATCCAGCGATGCCCACACCCCCACGGAGACCCAGCCTGGGGGCCCCACGCAGAGCTGGGGGGGTGGTCCTCAGGGCGGAAGAGCCGGAGGCCCCAGTGGCCTCCCTCACTCCAGGGACGGGGACCGGGACGCAGGCTCCCGTCCCTGCCTGGCCGCCAGCCGGCCCCGGGCTGGGCTCGCTGGGTCCTGCGTCATCTAAGGGAGATGGGATCCCAGCTCGGGAAGCTGGCTGTCCTGGGCTCCTCCGATCCTGCCTGTCACTCGGAAGGGGCGACCCGGCCAGAGACGGCCACTGGGGCCAGAGCCTTGGAACCCTGGGGACCACGGTGCCCCCACCCAAGGACGAGGAATCTGCCCCGCTCGCCGCAGCACACCACTGTTTAGTGGGCCACCCGGACCCTCTCGCAGCCCCCCCCCCAACGCGGCCTTTGCTGTCGGGGCCATACACGCTTGGACCCCAGGCCAGGGCCTCCCGCACACCTGCTCCTGCCGGGGGGGCCCAGCTCTGGGGGTGCTTTTCCTGACACCCCGCACAGCGGGGGCCACACTCCAGGTGCGGCGGCCGCGGCTCCTGGGGCCGCCCGTGGGGATCCAGGTCCCCCTGCACCCACTGGCCCGAAACGCGCACAGCTGCCGACGGCCACGGGCAGGGTCCCCAGGGCTCCCCGCCCGACGTGAGCTCCCCGTTGCAGACCGGCTTCTGCAGCCTGCTGGCCGCAGAGCCGGGGATAAGCGGTGCTCTTTGGCCCTGATCGGACATCGACAGCGGGAGCTGCAGAGCCACACGGGGACCCTCAGGACCGTGTGAGCCACGTGGCAGACGCCGCCCCGCCCCCCAGCCTCCTTGAGCCCGTGAGGAGCCTCGACGGCTTCTTCAGGGCAGGACAGCGGCCGGGACTCAGGGAGACGCCACGGGGACCCGGCTCCCGGGACGCGATCCCTCCAGGCTCTGCCGCGCGTCTCCGCCAGCGCCTCCGGGCCGCCCACCTCCTGCCCCAGCGCTGCCCCCAGGTCTGTGCCTGGGCTCGTGCAGACCCCACACCCCGTGTCCACGGCCCCCGTCTAGCCGAGAAAGGCCTCGGCCCCCAGGGCCTGTCGAGCACAGTGGGCGGCCGAGAGTTCGGAGAAGAGAGTCGCCCGAGGGCCCTACTGCCGCCTCCGAGGAGCGGGCTCGGGGCGGCGCGGGGCGTCTGTGTCCGAGGAAGCAGAGCGTCCGGTCGGAGGAGCTGGGGACGGCCCCCTGCCCCTCCGGGGCGTGCTGGCCCTTCCTGCTGCGGACGGGTCTGCGCCCCCGTCTGAGGTTCCCCGAGCGTCTGGGCCGCCCGCCGGCCGGGGGCGGGGTCGGCGGCTGAGCCAGCGGCCGCTGTGTCTGTGATGGTGCGGCCGGGGGACACGCCCAGAGGGGGGTCGTGGGCAAGGTCACGAAGGCCGTCCGGGGGGCCGGGCTGGGGCGGCGGCTTCCGGGGACCAGACCCCCGGGCTGAGGAGCTTGACCGCAGGCTGCTTCTCCACAACTTCCCCTGAAGCCGGACGCGCTAACGTTCACGGCGCGTGTCCATCAGGACTGCGTTTGGCGGCAAAGTGACGGCGGCGTGAACGTGGGGCGTGGGGCGTCCCCGCGGCGGGCGGTGTGAGGTCCCCGTCTGGCAGCTCCCGCGGACGCCGAGCCTTCACACGCCGCCGACCCGTGGGCCCTGGTCCTGGAGGCGGGAGGAAGGGGGCGCGGCGTCTGTGGCGTCTTTCCCTTTTCCCAGGGAGGCAAACGCTTCCTCCGAAGGCCCCGGGTCTCCCCTCCAGGGGCTGCCGGCCACGACTTGGTCACGGGCCACTGTTAGGCGGGTCGTGGACACACGGCGACTGCGGTGCCGTTGGGACGTCTCGAGCCCGGTCAGGACCCGTGTCCTGGGCCTGGGGAATCGGCCACTGTTTCCTTGAGTCGAGAGATTCCCACCCACCCCAGCGTCTGGGTTCCGTCAGAACGAGGGGGGGTGCTGTTGGGCCGCCGGTGAACAGCGCCTGCTGCTCCAAGCCCCCCCAGGACCCTTCCGAGGGCCCCGCGTCCCCGCACCCACGCGGCCTCCATCTGGTCCTCGCCGTTCGCCAAAAGACCTCTCAGACAGACTCTTCCCCGTCCGCACTTTGTAACGGGTTGTACCCGGGACGCTGCTCTCTCTTCTCGGCACCTGATCGGACATTGGGGCCCGAGGCTCGTGGAGCACACGGTCCTGACCGGGGCGGCTCCCTCGGCGGTGTGGCCAGGGACTCCTGACCCCGCGGGGGCCCCGGGCACCGCCCAGGGTCCAGGTCTTGCCCGGCCCCCCCCAGAGCTGAGAGCTTCTTAGGGAAGGGCCCAGCCTCCGCCGCCGACAGGGCCAGCGAGCCGGCGTCCCCCCCACCGTCCGCCTTACGTTAGCCGGCTGGACAGTGAGTCGTCGGCTCTGGGCTCCGAGGGGCCGCGCTCAGCCCACGGGGTCCACTTCTCAAAATGCGCACAGATGAGATGCGCTCGGTGAGCCGCCTGGTGGCTTGTCCTCCGGGTAGAAATAAAGACCAAATGCAGGGCTGTCGGGCGGTTCTTAGGAGCTGCGCCTCCCACCCACCAGGGAAGCTTCCTTTCACGTTAAAAAAGAAATTAAAAAAAAAAAATAGAAGTTTCCACCAGATAAGGCACCTGTTCCGTGAGATGGGTCCTCACATTCGTCAGTGGAGAGCGTACCTTCTCGGGCTGAGATCCTCGCGGTCCGGCGTTGGGTTTACGTCCCTTGGTGTCCCGATTCAGGATTCAGGCTTGTCTGCCTGTCCAGACGCCCACGTCCACCTCCAGCGACGCAGGCTGCGCCCCGCTGGCCACCCCACGGCGGCGCCTACGGCCCCCCTTCCAGAGAAACACCGGGCTTGCGCCTCAGAATGCCGTTATCCAGTCGGGAACGTTTGGCTACTTTTCGTACTTAAAAAGTTAACACCAACACGGTACAAGAAATTCCAACAGAACGAAACCGCGCTGAGAGGCGGCCCCTCCGCCTCGGACCTCAAGGCCTTCAGCCCCTCAGAAAGGGGTTCGCCGACAGCCTCTTCCATATCCTTCCAGAAACATTACGTGCATACGAGCCGACGCGGCAGACACACGCCCTCTTCGGCACGTGGGGGCTGCGCGGCGCCTGCTGTCTGCCTACTTCCGCCACTCCCCTTAATTTATTTGGAGATCGTTCCATTTCAGGGCATATTATGTTTGGCTTGTTCTAATGTTTTTCCATTCAATGGTTAATTTTGTTTTTAAACTGAGGTGACATTAAATCCAGTAAATTGCACGGTCTTGAGCGTACAGCTTGGTGTCTTAAGCAACTGTCTACACCTTGTAAGCGGCATCGCCGCCCTCCCCCCCCCCGCCATGTAGCCGCCTCCCTCTGCCTGGGAGGCTGCGGCCCCTTCCAGTAACCCCCCC